CATTCTTCGTGCGGAACTGAGATAGTCTCATCCACCCCTGAGCCTCGAAGTAATTCTGCAGGAAGACTCTGCAAGATGATCCGGTCACTGGGCTGCGTCTAGGGTCTAGATTTTTCAGGAGTTTTAGGCTCGGGTAAATGTTTCTGCTGAAATATATGCCACGTGAAATCAATTTTCACTTTCACCCGCTTGGTTGTTTGCAAATCCGTTTCGGCCTGGTGCACCTTGAAGTCTTCAAGCGTCCCTTTAGGGTTTTGTTTAGGGGTTTAGGGGTTTAGGGTTTACAGTAGGGTTTAGGGTTTAGGCCTGACATCCTAAAACTTGAAAGCAAACAAAAGTTTGCCTTGCTTGAGCATTCGCGGGTTGCTCTGCTGAGAGATACAATCGAGGCAGCTGCAGCTACAGTTACGGAGCACCTGCACCAGGCACTTAGAGCCCTGCTTGTAAGCAGCCATGCCCTTACCCTAAACCTAAAAGCCACCTAAACGCTAGCCCCAAGTACCTACTCTGGGCCCTAGGGGCGCCCTCGTACCCTATATAGTAGGTACCTGGNNGGGGGGGGGGGGTTGGGGATACTCTCAACCCGAAGCCGGAATTTTTGAGTCAAGAGATCTAGAGGCTTTCGCCGTCCTTTCTCCAGCCATCCTCCGCCCTACCCACCAAAGGAACATCACAGCACTTGGAAACCGTGAGGCCCAAGCTATCAACGCCACAACCCTAAGCCCCAAACCTTAAACCCTAAACTCTAAATCACCAACTCTGAATCCATTCCTTCAGCCTCGGGCTACACGAGGTCTTCCAGCGAAAAGCGTATCAGAACAACATCGAGGAAGATGCGGCCCTTCGTCTGGAAACCCTAAACGGTTTAGGGTTTAGGAGCCTAAGCGGCTTAAGGTTTAGGGTTTAGGGGCCTAAACGGTTTAGGGTTTAGGTTTTAGGGGCCTAAACCTAAACTCTAAACCCTAAACCCTTGAACTGCGGTGCAGGTAGAGGATAGATGGAATATAGAGATATGATATTGCAGCAAAGGCAACAATAGTAAGAAAGATCGTATCCCAGGGTAGCACATCTTAAAAGTCACCTGGCCTATCAGTCGTGCGGTTGAAAACAGTGCACTTAGTAGCGGAAGGAGCAGCAACAATCTGACCGCATCGTCGTCGTCGTCGTCCTTGGGGTGGTCTCGGTCGTTGCGGATCGGGATGTGGTCCTCGTGATCGTCGCCGTCGCCGAACAGTGGTCAGTGCGACAGGAACAGACGATATCTTCAGAACGCAAAAATCCTCGTTTCCATGCGGGTCATGCCAGCCGCGAGCGATGCGCTGGTCTTCCGTCCCGCGCAGTAGTCATGGGAGCCTCGCAGTTCAAGTGCGGGCACGGTCTGTCCGCCGCTAGGAGATAGCAAAAGCCGCAACAGTGCCTGGGAGGTAACCATAGCAATCATAGGTGATATAAGGGTCGGAACGATTGCAAACATCTTTCGTTTGGGTTCCTCATCTTTGCTTAGAGCATTCTATACCCCAACGCACCGTTCTCATCATCATTATTGAGGCCCCGCTCTGATCCTATTCGTAGTTCTCCCTCTGGAGCCTCGAACTACCAGTTGCTCCTTCAACCCGGAAACACTAAACCGGAAACCTCTAAACCTCTGCACGCTCCATCCCAGGCGGCTGCCCTCCTACTGGGTTCTTGTTAAGGGCGTTATTGACGTTACCAGAAGAAGGAAACTCTCTTATTTACTATAGGTCCCATTATGGTAACTTAAACTAAGTCCTAACTAGAGCAAATAATTGGGTTTCCTTATTCTGGTGAGTTGCTCCAACTGAGTTCCTCAACAAGAGCTTAGCCTAGGAGTGCAACCGAAGCCCCGAGTGGGGACCCTTTCGAGTTCAGCTGTTGGAGACTGCAGAGGACATGCGTGGCTGGGTCAAACTTTGAGAATTGGGGGTTCAAGCTCAGGATTTGAGGTTTCGTGGTCCGGGTGTCGGTTTCAGGGTTGGGGTCTTGGGATTTGGGTTCACCGTTTCGGGTTAAGGAGTTCGGGATTTCGGGCTCAAGCTGTTCGGGTCCATCTCTGAAGAGTCCTGTCTGTACAGGGTACTGTAACTGGGGTTTGGTTATTCTAGGGGTTCGTAAACTTCCGCAACACCCGTGTTGCTTCTTCCTCTTTGCGGTCCTCCAGGTTTCGGTTGGGGGTGCAGAGTCGTTGCTTTACGGGTGTTCGGGTTTTTCGGCATCGCGAATGAAACGGGCAGGGGGGGCCCGGAGCCTTCCCAATCCACTTAAGCCTTGTCCCCGGCGGATGACACCGTACAGAGTAGAGCACATAGAGGGATCCTTATAATTACCATTCAAGGACCTCACAATAGAGCTAATCCGAGCATCTTAGGGATTTGGAGTGTCTCTGTCTTCATCACAGCCCAGGTGTTGAATTGGCTTACGAGAAGATGATGGCTGCTTGGTTGAACCTCTATTAACACAGTGAAATATTGTATAACTTGCGGTTCCCATATCAGACGCACCCTAAACCCTGAACCCGAATTTCGGGTCTTTCACTCAAGTCGTGGGTTCGAGTTGACCTTGGCTTTCAGGGTGTAAACTTCCATTGGCAGACGGCGTCCCGAGCAGCGGTGCATGACTGCCGTGTGCTTGTTTTCGTGCCGCAGTAGTGATGAGATCTTCAATGGCGGTTGCAGCAAGATCTACCGCAACAGCAGCAGCCCTAAACCCTAAACCCTACACCCCTACACCCTAAACCCTAAGCCCTAAACCTCTAAGCCCGAGACATGCGCCCTGGCCCGGGTAGTGATGCGCTCTGCGCCCTCCTGACCCCAAGACCTATTCTCTAAAGCCCGATGCGGATTTGTTCAACAGAATTGGTTTGGTCGGCGTTCAAGATACGTCAATGGCATCAAAAAGTATCACTGCTAACTTTCGTTCTGTTGCTCAACTTCTACTCCAGGCTCAGTCGAAACTCTAAACTCCAGTGTCCAAGACCCTAAACCCCAACCCGAAAAGGCCCTTTACCTTAAACTCGAGATCCAAGACTAAAAAATCCCTAAACCCTAAACCCCTTTCAGGCCCTTAAAAATCCTCCCTCCTAGAACCCGCCGAGCTTCTGCACACTTTGTTGGAAGCCTCCTAAAGCCCCTACAACACCGCAAGAACCCCAAACCCGTAGCATCCCAAAACCTTAAACCCTGAACCCTAAATCCTAAATCCTATACCCCAAATCTTACATCCTAAATCCTAAATCCTAAACCCCAAATCCTAAATCCTAAATCCTAAACCCTAAACCCTACATCCCAAACCCCAAACCCTAAATCCTAAACCCTACATCCTAAACCTTAAATCCTAAATCCTTAACCCTA